GGGATCGAGCCGGCGCTGTCTACAGTGTTTCATCCTCAGACAGACGGCCAGACTGAGCACTGGAATCAAGAAATCGAGCAGTACCTGTGTGCTTTCACAAGCCACAGGCAGGATGATTGGGCAAAGCAGTTGCCGCTCGCGGAATTTGCACTGAACAACCGAGTTCACTCCGCGACCGGGCACTCCCCATTCTTCCTGCATCAGGGGTACCATCCTGAGATTCAGGTTCGGATCAATCCGATGTCCGCGATGCCCGCTGCCGCTGATCGGCTCAAGATCCTGAAGGAGATTCGCAACGATACGCGTTCTGTGCTCAAGCTGTCAGCCCAGCGTATGAAGGTGTACTACGATAAGCACGTGCAGAAGGCACCGGTCTTCGCGCCGGGGGACAAGGTCTGGCTTGATGCCCGGAACCTTAAGCTGAAACAGCCGAGCAAGAAGCTCAGTCCCAAGCGCCTCGGACCATATGCCATGCGGCGGAAGCTCGGAGACCTGGATTATGAATTAATCCTGCCAAAGTCAGTGCCGGTGCACCCGGTATTCCATGTCTCCTTGCTTAGCAAGTACATGCGTAGCGATATCCCGGGCCGGGAGCCAGAGGAGCCGCCTACGATCGAGGTTGAGGGCGACGAGGAATACGAGGTTGAGCGGATCAAGGATTCGCGGATCTTCCGGCGTCAGCTGCAGTACCTCGTCAAGTGGAAGGGGTATGACGATTCGCATACGTCATGGGAACCGGCGCGCAACGTTGCCAATGCGCCGGCCCTTATAGCCGATTTCCACCGGAAGAACCCAAATGCCCCTCGTCGTCTCAATGCTGCTGTATTTGGTGGTCTCAACTTTCAGCCGATGCCTTCGCTGCTGACTGAAGCGCGCTGCCACTCTGGGTGGGAGATGGGCAAGGGCGCCTCGCATGAGGTCATGCGCCGTTGAGGGGGGGGTAATGTCACAACTTGGTACGGCGTCTAGCCGTTTTTTAATTTTTTCCTTTTCGCGGGCTCAAACCCGCGACCTCTGTACTACCTGCCTGATATGGACACGACGTTATCTACTATACGATTAGATTAGATAAGACGGCAGTGCACGGCACAGCTCGGGCTCCGCTGACACAGCCTCTCTGACTCACCGGCCCCTGGGGCTGCATCAGCATGCTGCGCACGGACCAGCTGCACACGGACCAACACGCACAGCCTGCCCTTATCTTCCCCTGTATATAAGCCGGCCTCTGCTGCCCTAGGGACCTCAGTTTCGACCTCTTGTCCCTAGGTCAGTAAGCCCTCTCTTGTATCCTTTCTTACTTCACTAACTAATATATTACTTGTCCCTAGCCTTAGGTTTGAGCTTAGCTCACCATCGCTTCGGTAAGATAAGTCGAATGCCCCCAGCATTTGGTTTTCCCCTGTCGCTTGACCCTAAGTCGCAACAGGGTTGGAACCTTCTGCGCAAACCCAGGAGCCGCCTTGAGGATAGATGGAAGTCCTTCTTGTGGTGGTGACGAAGCAACGGTCTGCTTGGTCATACTGGAGAAGAGGAGATCCTATGAGGGCTGGTAATCCCAAGGGAACCAGGTTTACTGCATTGTTTGATGTGATGGTGGATGAGTTGTTCGACTAGGTAAAACTAGGAACATAGCTTTAGAAAGCTCAACCTTTTGATACAACGGTCTATACTCCTATATCAATGCCTGACTCATAGACAATGAGCGAGGGCTTATGGACAGTGCATCTTCCAGAAGATCGAGTGAGGAAGTCAAGAATGACCACTACCTCAAGCAAAGAAGAGCAGAGACTTGAATGAATAACCAGGTCGAACTTAGGGTTTGACCGACTAATGGTACAACTACTTATACAAGTACTGACTATGCATGGACCATCATGTCTATATGGTTGTGTTAGTGAAGAAAGAAACGTAGTGGTATGATGCCGAGTACAAAGTGCACACGGACCCCATTATGTAAGCTACATAATGTTCAACCTGCGGGTGAGCACTAAGATAGGCACCAGTATGGGCACTAGTAGTACAAAGAATAGAACGGAAAGACAAATGTTTCAATAATGGCATAACGTGGGGTTTCAGATGAAATATTCTGTGGGAGCGTACAACAGGACAAAATAATGTGTCCAGTCAATGGAGGGATGATGAGGCTCAGACAAGCTCCTATGCATCACTCTTTGAGGTCCAGAACAATCAGGTGATGCAAAAACATTAGGCACCACTGCGACCTCCTATATTCAGGCACCGATCACAAAGCTGCGGAGGTCCTACAGATAATGAAAGGGTCACGTGCACATGTGCGAAACACGTTCTTGGTCTAAGCCGAATGGGGCCATTCGGAATTAGCGAGCAGGTTGCAGTACATAGGCGCCAGAACCGTGTGAATGTGGTCGGCTCGTTAAGTACACCAACGAGGACTTGAACCCAACTTTCACTGCTCCATTCCCGCTACCACACTTCCACCATTGAACGGCCATGTCATCCCTTCCATACCCATCGGTGGAGAGTTACAGGATTCCTCGGGAGTCTGTTGATGTCGAGGCCATTGCCCAGAAATTTGTCTGGTACCTCCAGGCCGCTGGAGAGGACACCGAGTACCTCAGCTACGACCCCACTCGTCGCGACAAGCTCATC